GAAAACTTTCCTAGAGAGTATCCATGTTCAGTTGGCAAAGAAGGAAAAGTAAAACATGGGCTACATATCAAAATACACAAAATACCACACATAGTCCATGGAAAATCCAAATAAAGGCAAATCTTCATTTTGCTCACTTAATAAATCAAGATGCCCACGGATTTCAAGACACTCGTGACTTTTTCCCCTAATGTTTAACAATTGTGTTTTCTCACTTCCACATACAATTCTCCATGTCAGAAATCGCTGTTAATACAATGACCTGTTATCTCTACTGCTTACATTAAACTCAAGCTTACCATGTTTAAACTGCTAAACTAAGTCCCAGAAATGTTATTATTTTTAAAAATTAAGAGTAGCCCCAAATAAGATTCTCATTTACTACAAATGAAAAAAATTTTAAATCCTAACATAACTCTCTACTTTGGAAAGTTGTGGTTTAAAGCAAAACAAACAACAAAACCCACCATCCCCAAACACAATCTTGACTCTATTTTGATCCCTGAAAACATTTTTAGATAGAAGAGTTACAGTTAGTTAGATATGGAAGAGTAAACTGATAAGTTCAATCTAAGAAATATCCTTCAAAATAATAAATTTAATATCTCTATTTTCAAAACCCTGACAATAGAAAAGAAAAAAATAGAACAAAACAAAGAAGATGAAGAAAGAAGCAATAAAAAAGAAAACAAGACTATTTTGATCCACTTTGGGACAAAATATTTGTTTAGGAAGAAAAACTGTAAATAGGATGGAGTAGTAACTACATTTTTAACCTTCAACAACCAATTTAATCCATTTATACATCATTATTTAGTGATATTAGATATAGAACTAATTATATGCATGAAGACATGGTGTCATGTTTTGAAATAGAGGAATTAAAAGAATCATTTCAGTAATGTTTTTCCTGTTGTAACTAATCCTAATTTGTACTCCCTCTTTCAAACTCAATTCTCCCATTCTACTCCACACATACTCTTTAAACATACCTGTATTCAAGGAATGATAAGCAGAAGAAATGACAACAATAAAAAAAGATAAAAGAGGGACAGAGGCAAAAGTAACTAGGATAGAAGGTCCAGAGTATTTCTCACTTTTAAGAATGAAGTTGCCCAAAAAAGATTTACTTTAAGTCTGTTGGAATGGGATCAAGAAAATGGTATATGGGCCCGGCTGGTGTGGCTCAGTGGTTGAGTGTCAACCCATGCAAGAGGTCACCAGTTCAATTCCCGGTCAGGACACATGCCCAGGTTAAGGGCCAAATCCCCAGTTGGGGGCATGCAGGAGGCAGCCAATTGATGTTTCTCTCTCCCTCTCCTCTAAAATCAATAAAGAAAAAAAATTTTTTTAAAGAAAGAGATATATAGAAAATATATGAAAAAAGAAAAAAAATCAGAAAGTTGCAATTTCAGATTTCTTGACAAAACTGGTCTATACAACTTAAAATGAATGATACTTTCATCAGTCCATTAACTGTTTCCATCTGATTCTTCCAAGATAATCAGGAACTTAAATTGTACATTATACAAGAACTAAGTTTCTTCTTAATACCTTCACAAAGAAAGAAGAAAATAAATCCCAAAAGAAGGAAAAAAATATGAGTATCTATACTCCTTGTAATTCTAACATAATCAAAATAACTAAAAACTATACTTCAGAGTAAAATGAAACCACGCAAACTATACTTACAAATCTAATGAAGATGAAACTTGATATTATTTCCCCCACTAAAAATTTGCATTGATTTGGCCAAAAAAAGCCAACAAAATACATATACACACACACAATTTATCTTCAATTATGCATACATAAACAAGGTGGAACAAAAGTAGGTTTCCTGTTGTTCATATGAAAAATAATACAATAGTTAACAAACATGAATACAAGAATAAACTCTGTTTCCCATACTCACAACTATAAACCTACTTTGCCCCACCCTGCATATGAACACATACCTGAAATCAGAATATATCCATTGCTTATCCAATAGTCAAATAATCCTTCTCTTATAGCATAACACTAACCAAAAGAGACTACACATTTCATTAAATTAATTATAATTTAATGTCATGAATTAAATTCATTTCATAAACTTTTACAAAAGATCTTTGAATGATCATTAGCAATCAAACATAATATTTCCCTCTATCGAATAAGCCAAAATTTAAAAATAGATTTCAACACTGGCAAGGTCTATTTCCAAGGCTATCTCCACTGAAACAAGAAATCCTTGAAGACACAAACTACATCTGATTCATTTTGTTCATGCAGCTCCTAACACAGTATCTGGCGCAGCAGGTGCTCAAACAGGTTACTTGACTGATCAAAGGAAAGAAGGCAATTTTATATTATGTAACAAGAACCTTAAAATGTTCATTTCTTTGACTTAAGGTAATTCTACCTACAAGAAACTATCTTAAAGAAAGAACCTAGAATGAATACGTGGATAAACAAAGATATTCAAGGAAGTTGTATTTTTAACTTGAAAAACTGAAAATAATTTAAACATCAAAAGGTAAGGGAATTAGAAAATAAATTATAGTACATTCACATGAGAGGACACAGCCGCGAAAAATTATTTTTGAAGAGGAACTGAAAAAACAAGAAAATGCTCATGATAAAATGTTAGGAAAAAACTCCCAGAAAATTGTGGTTCATTCTAGCAGTGAGATGTGAAAGGAGCAGAAGAGATTAATTACTGTTGGAAGACAATCTGAGAAAGCCGTCCAGCACTTAGGGAACCCCTAGAAAATTTTCAGTAGCGAAATGATTCAGGTTACATTTCAGCAAAAATAATCTAGCTCAATTGTATAAAAATGAATGAGAATTAGAAAAGCATTAAAGACTGAGAATCTTAAAAAAAAAAAAAAAATCAACATAAGCAGCTGATCTTCCAAGCAGTATGTTAAATAAATTTAAATTACTTAGTAATAGTAGGGAAATATATGGTAGAACTATTATAAGAAACAGAAAAAGAAAAGCAAGGAAGAAAATGTTTAAGACACAAGACAATAAACTCACACAAGAATATATGCATTCTAAAATATTGGTGGTGTCACCCAGCCAGTGTGACTCAGTGGATGAGCACTGACCCATGCACCAGAAGGTCACTGGTTCAATTCCCGGTCAGGGCACATGCCCAGGTTGTCTACCCAATCCCCAGTGCGGGGTATGCAGGAGGCAGTCAATCAATGTTCTCTCTCATCAATGTTTCTATCTCTTTCTCCCTCTCCCTTCCTCTCTCTCTAGAATCAATAAAGAAAATGTATTTAAAATATTGGTGGTGTCATTCAGCTGATGTCTAATAGGCATCTATGTTTAGATATAAATGAAGAAGTTTAGACTTGGAAAAAGAGATACAAACATTATCTAAAATGAGGCATTAAAGCCATAATTTGGATAAAGCAATGAGAAAGTGGCAAGAGAAGTATCCCAAAATACTTTTAAAAAAGTAAACATGTATTAAAGCATTTGGTTCCTTTATTACAAATAATTGTTTTCATACTTTATAAATCTCATGCTGGTCATTATCATCATTGCTAATTTGAACACTGTAAATTTAAAACAAAAACAAAAAACAAAAAACAGCATAGTGAAGATTAAGAACTGCCAGGACCATATAAAGCAATTCAAAACAACAGAGCATTTCATTAATTTCCAAAACGGAGCTACTCCGACATGCTGTGCATGCGTGTGTATCTGTGTATAAACAATCATAAAAACAGAAGTCCACATTTCTGAAAGCAACCTAGAAGGTATGATATAATTAGGAAGAATATTTAAATTCCTAAAGGGTTTTAATATAAACATTCACAATTATCCAGTTTGATCTATGAAAAACTGTTCTTATACCATTAGTATCAAATTATTTTCTTCATAAGAAAATTTTTTGAAGATAGTAAGAATATTTAAGCTCACTATTTTTAAATCAGGTATTTAAAAAGTATTATTAAAACATAAAGGCAATGTCAGTTCTGTACATTAAAAATTATGGTTTCAAGTCACATGTGGGATGAAAAAGAAAAATATAATTTTCTGGTGTTGGCACTTAAATGTATTATAAATATGTCAAATGACTATTTTAAATTCCATTCACATTGATTGAAATACCTTTTGACACACTTTCCCCAAAAGTGGGACAGTGAGGTTTAGAGGAAAGGAAAAGAAGAACTGGAAGGAGGGAATGAGGAAAACCAATAGAATGAAAAAAAGGGGTGAGAGAAGGAGAGGCAAACTGGCTGAAGAAATAGCTAACAGAGTAAAGACGATGACAATTATTACACTGCCCCAGAACAGATTTACGGAGCAAAGAGGATTGATGCAGCTTTTTGCTAGAAGTTGGAATGATAAAGACTCTTGAAAATAGTACAGGTTATCAACCTATACTACCGTGCAGGTATTTTTCTTAAAATACTTGCAAGTCAAAGGAATCTGATAGGGCAGCGATTTTCAACTGGTGTGCTGCAGCACATTGGTGTGCAACAAAAATTTTTTAAATATGCAAAACCTATTTTAGTCAGGGGTATTGACCTCTTTTCCCTTAAACTGTCAAACTATAAAATGACAACAGCCAACATAAAAATAGCTGTCTGGTGTGAATGAATCAAAATTATACCTATTTTGTTGTCATATCAGCAAAAATAGAATATATATTTTGGTGTGCTACAGAATTTTAGTAATGAGTTTATGTGTGCCAGGAGATGAAAAAGGTTGAAAATTGCTGCGATAGGGAAGTCACAGGCCATCAGTTACCCAAAGCTAACAACACACAATCTGCAATCAATCTAAACGATTAGACAGAGATGGCCGATACCAATGTGCATGGTAACAATCTGTCAAAATGTGCTGTTGTGCTATTTTGTGACTACTTTTTACATAAGCAAATTCCTTCAAAGGAAAACAAAAGAAGTCCAAGCAATTTTGTAAAATTACATGTCATATAACAACACTGGTTAACTTTACACATGACAAGAAAATTTTTGAAAAACGTGAAATACCTCAGTCTGACCTTCATGGGCACTGGTCTCATGAGTAACTCGAATAGCCTGAAATAGGAATACAAGGTATTAATACGGGAAAAAATAACTATATATTACTTTTTAAATGGAAACAACAACACTAAATTTTAACATCTAAAATACAGACAAAACAAATTGGAGGAAATTAAGGAAAAGCTGAATTTGAAATATTTAAGAATGAATTTCTAAGTAACTAAATGAATGGCTATACTTTCCACAAACAAATCTCTGAAGACTTAGGGTACTGAATATTGAATTCTTTGTAATTTCCAGGTGCAAGTGGGAAATCAATTGACTTTCTTAATTGTTAAAACTAACATTTAACACTTTATTCAATGGAGACTAGAATAAAGTAAGCATCTCATGATAGAGACGGAAGAAGCTTAGCTCATCTGTTTCTCCAGGTTACATGCTCCTCTGCAGCTCTGGCTGTAGTTATGCTTAATCATGCAGCTTCAGTCAGCAGTTTAGAAATGGGGAGCAAAAGCATGCATTTACCAAAAGCTAGAGAGTTTAGTTTCCTGAACTTAAAAAAAAATGCTTTTATAATACCTACTATTAGCAAAGATGAAGAGAAATAGGCAAAGAAGTAACTTACAGGTGAAAGTTCAACCTCAATGCATGGCAATTTGGTAATAATTATCAAAGCCATAAATACATGCAAACTGTTTGATCCAGCAATTTCTCTTCTAGAAGTTTATATATTTACATATAATTGTATATAAGTATACATAATTACAGATATTTGCAAAGATTTAGCTACAATGACATACATTGTTGTATTTTTTTAAACAGTGAAAAAGAGGAAAAATATTAAATTTATGACAATTTATTGGTTAAATAAGATATAGTACAATGGAAAGCTATGCAGCCATTAAATGATGATGTCAAATATATACTTACTGGTATGTAATACGTTTGTGATAAATTAAGTGAAAAAAGCAAGTTATAAAACAATATTACAGTGTGATCAAATATTCGTCTTAAAAAATTGTGTATATACATATATACTCCCTATAAAAAATAATAATGGTGGCCACATCGCATTAGTGGGATTACTCTTGACTTTTGTGTTGTTTATTTCAATTTCATGTAAAATAAAGATGTTTTATGAGCTCTGCAAGTTTTTTAAACTAGATTATGTGGCCTCTGTCTTCACACATGCAAAAATATTATGCTCATAAAAAGCCAAGGTATGGTCTAACATCTACCTTTTTAACCTTTGTTTTTTCCATTGGTCTTTAGGCTTACTTCAAATTCCCCATGAAAGACACACAGGGTATTAGCAGGCATATATTTATTACAGGAAAGGAATGATAAGAAATAGTCTTTCTTAAGATATTTTATAAATTTGTAAGTCAAACTTCTTTTTATCTCTCATCCAGCTCTGGACATAGAAAAGAAGCAGTAAGTTATTGATATTTTATAGATATTTCAGCACTGTTACCCGAAACATACAAAATGCCTTTTTAATAGATAGACAAAATCTATAATTGTTTAAAACTACAGTTTCAAGACAAATCCCCAGATTGAATCTACAATCCCACCAAACTTTGCCTACGTATGAAATGAAAACCGTGAAGGTACCGACGTCATAGTTCTCCAGGTATCTGGCTCGTTCTTCAGGGCTCATTGACACAGACTCCTCCAGGAACTTTTTCAAGGTTGATCCAGATTCTGAGAAGAGTAAAGAAGATAAATTGAAAAGGCTTGCTATCTCAAAGAGACTGGTATATAAAAATACTAGAAGCATGCGGCCTATTTTTCAGGTAGAGCCCTTTCACTGGTAAATTAGGAATATAAGAATATTGGGATGAATGACAGTGCTTAAGTTATTTGTTTGTTTCTTAGACCTCCATTTATCAACAATATAAACGAATGAGAAGGATTAATAGTTCTTCTAATAGTATATACATCCCATTATAAATGAAAGGAGAAAAATATGTAATACTTTTAAGAAAGAACTAGAGCACCACCTAGTGCTCAGTAAGTTAACTTATACCATAACAGGTGAAAACAGCAGTAATGAAAAATGATTTACCAAAATGCATCTTGTCTTTATTGTTGGCAATAGCATGGATCAGTCCAATGGTTCCACAGGCATTACTGATTGTTTGCTTCATGAAATATACTGATGATGTAACATCTTGTCCTTGAGATTTTATTTTTTCTTCCTCTTCTGTTCTGAATACTTCATACTATTAAAGAAAAAGTCAATAGTTGAAATAGAATACAACACATTAGAAAGAAGTTAAACATAAAACTTGAAAAACTCTAAATATCCATCTAGGGGAATTTGGTTAACATGTTATACGATATCTTACTGAAATACTATAAAGCATTTTTTGTTGTTGTTGTTAATCCTCACCCGAGGATATTTTTTCCATTGCTTGTTTTTAGACAGAGTCGAAGGGAGAGAAGGAGAGAAAGACGGAGGGGGGTGGAGAGAGAGAGAGAGAAACATCAATGTAAGAAAGACACATTGGTTGGTTATCTCCCACACAAACCCTGACCGGGGCTAGGGATTGAACCTGCGATTCAAGTACATACCCTTGACCAGGTCGGTGCACGGGTCGATGTTCTAACCAATTAGCAATACTGGCCAGAGCACCATAAAGCATTTTTAAAATAATAAAGTAGATTTACATACTCTTACTTAGAAATTTATCTATGATTACGGAATGCTTATAGGTCAGTATAATTCTCATTTATACTTTTAAAATATTTATTTTATATATGCATTGAAATATCTGAAAGGATATACAAAAAGTTAAGGAGGATAGAGCATTTTTTATTTTTTTTTATTTTTTATTTTTTAATCCTCACCCGAGGGTATTTTTCCATTTTTTGTACAGATAGAATGGGAGGGAGAGAGAGGAAGGGAGAGAGAGAGAGAAACATCGATGTGAAGGGACACATCGAGTGGCTGCCACCCGCACAACCAACCAGGGCCGGGGACAAACTGCAACCGAAGTACATGCCCTTAGCGGGAACCGAACCCGGGTCTCTCCGGACCGCAGGCCGACACTCTAACCGCTGAGCCAAACTGGCCAGGGCAGGATTTTTATTTTCTATTTTTTATATTTCTATATTGTTAAATCATACTATAACAAAATTCATACTATATTTATAAGCCAATATTCATAATAAACATTCACCATTATCTCTAATAACTGGTTATAAAAACAATATGGTATAATGATGAATGTCCAAAGTGGGCACTTTACATCTGACTGCCAGAGTTCACATCCTGGCTTTGCCATTATTAGCTGTGCAACTTAGACAAATTATTTAAAAAGAGGTTAAAAATAATGAAGAGGTTAAAAATGAGGGAGGAGAAGCAAGAGGGGGGAGTAAAAAGATGATTGTATTGTTTTGTCTATATTTTTCTTATAATTTTCAGATTCCAATAGAGTAGAATGTCAGCAAACTATAACCTGCAGGCCAAATCGGGCCAACTGCCTGTTTCAGAAGTAGTTTTATTTTTCTATTGTCAACATCATACTAAAAAGATTTTGCACAGCAAAAAAATCCATCAACAAAACGAAAAGACAACCTACTGAATGGGAGAACATGTTCACCAATGATACATCCAATAAGGGGTTGATACCAAAAATTTTTAAAGAATTCACACAACTCAACATCAGAAAAACAAACAATCCAATTATAAAATGAGTAGCCCTAGTCAGTTTGGCTCAGTGGTTAGGATATCGGCCCACAGATTGGAAAGTCTTGGGTTAAATTCCTGGTCAAGGTCATGTACCTGGGTTGCAGGTTCAATACCCAGCCCCGGTCGGAGTCCTGTGGGAAGCAACCAATCGATGTGTCTTTCTCATATAGATATCTCGATGTCTCTCTCCCCCAACCCCACTTCCTCCCTCCCTCCCTCTCTATCTATAAATCAAAGAAAAAATATCCTCAGGTGAGGATTAACAAAAAAACAAATAAATAATGAACAGAGGATCTGAATAGGTGCTTCTTCAAATAGGACATACGGATGGCCATCACACATATGAAAAGATGCTCAAAGTCACTAATCTTCGGAGAAATGCAAATTAAAACCATAAGATATCACCTCACACTTGTAAGAATGGCTATTATCAATAAATCAACAAACAAGTGTTGGTGAGGATGTAGAGAAAAGGGAACCCTTGTGCATTGTTGATGGAATTGTAGACTGGTGCAGCTACTAAGAAAAAACAGTATGGAGGGTCCTCAAAAAATTAAAAATGGATCTTGTCTTATGACCCAGTGATTTAATTTCTGGGTATATATCTGAAGAAACCCAAAACACTAATTCAAAAGAATACATGCATCCCTATGTTCACTGCAGTGTTACAACAGCCAAGGTATGGAAGCAACTAAAGTGCCCATCAATAGATGATTGTATAAAAAAGTTGTGGTACATATATACAATGAAATATTACTTGGCCATAAAAAAGAATGAAATATTACCATTTGCAACAGCATGGATGGACCTAGAGAGTATTATGCTAAGTGAAGTAAGTCAATCAGAGAAAGACAAATACCATATGATTTCATTTATATGTGCAATCTAAAAAACAAAATAAACAAACAAAATAGAACCAGACCCACAGATACAGAAAACTGACTGATGGTTGCCAGAGTGGGGAAGGGTTAAAGGGCTGGATAAAAAAGGTGAAGGGATTAAGAGGTAGTACAAATTGGTAGTTACAAAATAGTCATGGGATGTAAAATACAGCACAGGGAATATAGTCAATAATATTTAACAACTACATATGGTGCCAGGCGAATCCTGGAAATATTGGGGGAACACTTTGTCAAGTATATGATTATCTAACCACTATGCTGTACAGCTGAAACTCATACAAAATACTGAATGTTAAAAAATAAGCTGCTTCTAACAACAAAGTATCAATGCTTTTAAAAAATAACTTTTATGACTGTACTTCTAAATCAAATTTTTAAGTAACGTTTTCATAATAAATTCTGAACCATTATTTCATTCATATAAGTTCAATTGATAAAAACTAAAATGTTCAACAAAATAGATCCAGAGACATGGAAGTAGGAAACAGAGTGACACATCTTAGAGGGAAGGGGCGAGGGGGAAACAGTAAGATAAACCAAAGAACTTATATGCATATATGTATAACCAATGAGCAGAGTGGTGAAAATGGGGAGGAGGGAGTCACTGGGGGGGGGGGGGGAGTATCTGTAATACTTTCAACAGTAAAGATACATTAAAAAAAACTGAAATGTTCAATATAGTAAGGTCTTATCCTTTAGTTTATATGGTTCTAAAGTTCAGTTTCTTATTGCTGTTTAATATTCTTGTTCCTTGCTAACAAAGCAAAATATTTGATAACTTTGTAAGATTTAATGCTTAGAAGAAAAATCCTAAATTGATACAGACCAAGTATGGGAAAAATGAAAATGTAATTATGGCAGACCAAAGTGAAAACACATGGTCAGGAGACAATAAAAATTATCAGAAAGGAATAATTTGAAGCCTCTCCACCTATGATTCATTAGCTGGTAAGCTCTACTATAAAGCACACCATAATTGACTATATTTAAAGAGTTATGCACTACCAACACAGTTCTTTTTAGTATGCTTAAGCCAATTGCAACTACATAATCAGTTCCTAAATTAGAACACAGAAGACCAAAACACTTCATATCTCTTAAAACATCGAGCAGGTATCTCTGAGTAACTTTAATGCGCCACTTATGAGCTGAAATGGGAAACCTACTGAATTGTAAGAGACATGAGAGAGGAGCAGATGCCACTATATTCTGTGCTTATATAAGTATTCCTATAAGTTATTTATAGATACTTTTAAGATACCTATAAATAGCCCTGGCCGGTTTGGCTCAGCGGTTAGAGCGTCAGCCTGTGGTCCTGAGAGACCCGGGTTCGGTTCCCGCTAAGGGCGCGTACCTCGGTTGCAGTTTGTCCCCGGCCCTGGTAGGTCGTGCGGGTGGCAGCCACTCGGTGTGTTCCTTTCACATCGATGTTTCTCTCTCTATCTGTTCCTCTCTCTCCCTCCCACTCTACCTGAACAAAAAATGGAAAAATGTCCTCGGGTGAGGATAAAAAAAAAAAAAGATACCTATAAATAACCTACAGAAATACTCTAGAATTGTGTTTTTTCTAACAATAGACACAATGAGCCTTTCAGTACTAATGATCCACTAAATGAAGTCCTATTGATAAGGATAACATGCTCTCTTTAATACTGATGATCCACTAAATAAAGGAAATCAAATTCCATGTATTCCTTTAGAAAATATAAAAAGAAGGGTAGATCATAAAAATAAATGGTTTGGAAAATTTCCAATTCAGACCATAAACTCACATTTGTATCACACCAACAAAGAATGCCTAAACTTTCAGCAGCTGAATTTTTTATTGTTTCTTACAATTGAGATCGTGACATGGCTATCTATTGGCTTATTTTAGTAAGCAAAAAAAAAGGAAAGTAACACTGGAGTAGAAGAGTGTATATATAAACTTACGTATGTGTCCTAACTCTTCCTCAAATTCCAGAATAATTACAACCTCACCACTAAAAGTAGGAGTTCAGTCTAATACTAGATAGTCACAAGGAATTTCTAACTCTAAATTTCTATGAATCTTACAAACAGCAAATATGAAGAAATATCCCTTATTTAATTAATTTGTTTTGTAGCAGCCTTAACTAGAAAAAAAAAAAATATTTCAGTATTTTTTATTTTATCTTAAACAGAGGTTAATTAGTTTTGGTATCAAGAAAATTGTCCAGGAATTTTTAGGGCTGAGCAAAGTCTAATTCTTAATTTTTGTGAGACGCAGCTCCTTTTATTACTAAAAAATAAGATGACCTGAGCATGTATGTCAAATCTTCAACATCTCATTTCTCAAACATTTTCCCATTCACTTCATTTTTTTACAACCACCAAGTTCATCCTATAGTTTCTAAGTTTAAAAATAAAAATCAGAAAGATTTGGACTTATAAGTTGTATTAAAATGAATTTAAATGTCTGGCTCCATAATACATATATCTATATGACATCATTCTAGAAGGCTTAAAATACCATGATTTGAATTTAAACAGTAACCTAACAACAGCTCTTTATAATCCCAACGCATCCTAAATCTGCCAATTAAACTATTATTTAATCTTAGTGTTCCCACCCAAATCAAGTTTATCCTGAAAATAATGTAACTAATGCTATTAGTTACACCTACCTCCTTAAAAAAACAGGTATCTTTTTAAATATGTATATTTAAATGTACATATTTTATATATTGAAAGTTTGAATATAATATTTATTTATACATTTTCGAAGACAGATTTAAGATAATTCTAGTACTTAACATTTCTAAAGGATATACATCAAGCCCTGGCTAGTGTGACTCAATTGGTTGGGCAATGTTCCGTGCACCAAAAGGTTTGGTTTGATTTCTGCTCAGAGCACACACCAGGGGTTGTGGGTGTGCAGGAGGCAGCCGATCGGTGTTTCATTCTCACACATCGATGTTTCTCTCTCCCTTTCCCTTCCTCTCTAAGAATCAATAAAAAATTCTTTAAAATAAAATAAAGTATATACATCAAAATGTGATTAAATGTCACATCAAACCACAGTTGAGGCAAAATAACCAAATTTTATAAAATAAGAAAATTACCCAAGTTTAAAATACTAACTAGGGCTTTATTGTCAATTTACAATTAAAAATTGAAATATCACCTCTTCAAGAAAACTAGATTTTTAAGGTATCCCTGCAGCCTAAATTTCTTCTTTTTATGCAAGAAGGGAGTTGTTTGTTCTTAAAGAAGAGTGTGATTCTTTTTCTTTGATCATGTTTTTATTCAAAATTAGCTGTCCAAAGTGATGTGACCTTCATGGAATAAACACATTTAAGTTTATGCCACGGGATTCTTTTCTTCTGTGGAGGGTTTCTTTTCTGTGGGTTTCTTCTCAGTTGCTGGTTTCTTGGTAGCTGCAGCCTTTTTTCCCACCAAAGGCTTCTTCGGCTTCTGAACGCTAATGACCTTCTTTCCTTGCCTCCCTGCCACAAGCTTCTTGACTGGAACCCCCTTCTTATCTGATTCGGCTTTTAGTGCCGCTGCTGCTTTATCCACCCGGAGCTTGTGGTCCTTGGCTTGGCGAAGAATGGTGTTCTGGCGCATGCAGATTTAGCTTCAACATGATTCTCAGGTTTTTCAGTGGATTCTTCAGGACTCTGCGATGAATCTTATGTGGTGCTCAAAGGGCTCTCTAGATCTCTGGGCTTTTCAAGATTCTACTAAGGTCTGCATTGAACGTCTCGTGCACAGGAAGGCTGTAGTCACTCTTGAGGGAGGCAGCTTTACACTAGGTGCCATACAGATCATCTAACTTGCACAAAGCACTTTCAGTCCAAATGCAGAAACGGCCCATGTGCCCACCAGGAGCAAGTTTCAAAATGTTCAGTTTGCTTACATTAAGCAGAGTAATTCTAGGGATGCTTCTGAAGGCTTTGATGATACCGTTGTCATTATAGATGATACAGGGTCCCCTGCGCTGGATACGACGTCGGTTTCTCATTTTGCCCTTGCCAGCTCTCATTTGCTGAGAGGCATAGACCTTTTTGATATCATTCCAGGCCTTATGTTTCTTAAGAAGCAAAACAGCCTCCTTGGTTTTCTTCTGGCTTCAACTTTATCTTCAACCACCAAAGGAAGTTCAGGAACTTCCTCAACACAATGACCTTTAGACATGACCGTGCTGGTAAGGCCGAGGCAGCCAGGGCAGAGCAGATGGCATATCGCTTCTATATTGTGTTCACTCTACAGTGCCAACGGCGCCAGGTTTTGGTTGGTGCAAACATGTGGCCTCCATGACACATATATCCAAAAGCACACTGGCTAGAATAAGTTCCACCACCTCAAACCCTGGGAATCCGAGCCACAGCTCTGCCAGTACCCCAAGACTCAGCACTGGTGTGATGACCTGCTAATTCACTGACAGCGTAGGGCTGTCTATTGTTTTTATGCAAGTTGGTGTGAACAAAGTTCACAATATCTGGTCGAATGGAAGCCTTGAACACAGCAGGCAAAGTGACATTTTTGCCAGATGATTCCCTTTTCGAAGTGCACGGATATCAGTGGACGAGCACACGCCATGGGGTGGAGAGGAGAAGGCCGCGCTCCTCTCAACCCGATGGCTCCCACAGGAAAAGAAGAGTGTGATTTTTAATAGAAGAATAAAAGAGAACTTCGCATTTACTGAAAAGTGTATAATCTTACTTAACAATTACCTTTTCTGTAATTGGGAAGAGAAGTAACACTGCACACACTGGTCTGGGTACCATGCTAAGGAGTTCAGGATCCATTCCATATACATCAACAAACTGCCAGTTAGGATGTAGACCTAATTGTTTGAGAAACTGGTAAAAGAAGAGAAATATAGATAGTGTTAATAAGGAAATAATCAACATGTAAATACTGTGTATCTAATACATAAAAGGGAATGCAAGGTACTAATATTTAATATTACTGATATTCAATGAATGAAGCAGGCTTCCATGAATAGGGTAGGAAGAGATACCAATTTATTTATATCAATTAACAACCATTTAAACTTTACTACATACTAAGCAAAACTTTTTTCAAAATCCATTACTTTGGAACTGAACATAATAAGCCAGGACTTCACCAAACCCATACAAGTTGGCTTGACTAATATGTTAAACTCATTTCCAGTACTTGATTCTTAATGAGATGCATCTAAGTTCTAGTGAATATTATTTTAGAAGATCAACACAGTTTATCCTACTTACCAAAAATGATGCCTGAAGTTTAAAAATAAAGAGGTAGTTATGACAAATCATATCAATGAGCAAAGAGTATATAAAGCCAAAAAAGTCAATGACTTGTGTGAACACCAGAGAATGCTTGATATAAGTGAACTACTGACTTCCTGTCCTCTACTCTACAATGAAATCTACTCAACTTCACTGCCCCTCTTATATCTGGCAAAACAACTATAACAAAAGAATCATGTTTTTTAAAATTAAGATTTCATAGGAAAATAAAATGTCAGGCCTTACTCTATTGCAGGGTGAAAAAAGAAAATAATGAGAATGATGTCAATTTCACAATTCATTTTTAATAAATGTCTGTACTAAATGAAGCTGATTTTTAAAAGTGTACCATCACAAAATAAGTTTCAGATGATAGAAGACAAGGAGAGGAAACAAAAAAACCCTATTAAGAATTCATCATTATACCTTAAAGTTACCATTATACCATAAAAATACATTATTGTATAATATTTCAGAAATAATCTATTGGTCTAACATAATCTGAAATTTAAAAATAAAAAGGTGCTTTGGGTATTTCTTCCTGAAGAATGGTCACATGTTCTTAGATCATCAGATGAGATCTTGCTAAGCCAGTGATTTTCAACCTTTTTCACCTCATGGCACATATAATTACTAAAATTTTGTGGCACACCAAAAAATATATATTTTGCTGATCTGACAAAAAAAGTAAGTGTAATTTTGATTGATTAAAAAAAAACAATAGTAATTACCTACCCTTTTTGTTCCAAAGGGACATCTTTAAAAATCAGGTACCATACTTGTATATAAGTACTTCTGGTACCAAGAATTAACCAATCAGATGCAAACTCATTATGCAATGTGTCCAGTAAGATACAACTCTATTATATGATGTATATATTTATGCTTCAAAATAAAGCACTCACACCATATGGCTATTGTTGTGTTGAGTGTTGCCATTTTTTTTTTTCACAATCTAAGGAAAAAGAGGTCAGTGTCTCTGACTAACTAGTCAGAAATTGCATGTTTTAAAAATTCTTGTGGGGACTTCCGGTCAAGATGGCGGCGTAGATAAACGCGGTATCGCGTCCTCCCACAACCACATCAAAGTTACAACTAAACTACAGAACAACCATCATTCAAAACCGCCTGAAATCAAGCTGAATGGAAGTCCTACAACTACGGAATTTAAAAAAGCAGCTACATCTAGACTGGTAGGAGGGGCGGCGGCGCGAGGGGTGGCTGCGGCGGCCAGGCACCTCGACGGGCTGGTCCCACACCCACGTGTGGCGGATAAAAATAAGGAGGCTCCCACGGCTGGGAAGGTCCTTCCTGAGGACTGAGGGGTCCCCGTCACACACCAGGTGCCCCGCTCAGGGTTCCAGGGCCAGGAAGAGAATCCCCATAACTTCTGGCTGGAAAAACCAGCGGGAACTGAGGCTCAGGGAAGCTGATGTGGCTGGAGCCCCAGGCAGCTCCTTAAAGGGCCCGCGCACGGACTTATCGAACTGTCTCCCTCTAAGCTTGGAGGGGAGGCAGCTCGAGGGGCGCCAGAGACACACAGGGAAGAACTGAGCTGTTTGGCACTGGAGCGAGGGCTGGAGAGGGGGGCTTCCTCGGGGACAAACGTGTTGTAAGAGGCCTTTGTTCCTTTGGTGAGCCCTTCCCGGGGGCAGCAGACAGTCGCCATATCTGGGACTCCAGCAACGTGGCTCACACTGGTAGCCCCGCCCTGCTGACTCCCTGAGGCCCCGCCTCACCCCACCCAACTTTCAAGCCCACCCAAGCTGTTGCCACTTGCTTAACCACAGGATTGGCCTGTCTTGGATCCTGCTTCAGGTTTTTCCTAAATTCTTTCAAACGAGCAGCATCTGGTCTCAGCGAGCCCCATACCTCTCGTTAAGTAATACACAGAAACAAACACAGGGAGGCAGCCAAAATGAGGAGACAAAGAAACAGGTCCCAAATGAAAGAACAACAAAACCCCAAGAAAAGAACTAAGCGAAAGGGAGATAAGCAACCTAACAGATGCTGAGTTCAAAATACTGCTTATAAGGATTCTCAATGAACTTAGTGAGAACCTCAGTGAACTTAGGGAGGGCCTCAAGAGCATAAAAAAGGACCAGTTAGAAATCATGGATACACAGTTAGAATTGAAGGAGGCATTAACTGAAATAAAGAATAATTTACACAGCTTCAATAATAGAGTATGTAAATCCAAGGAACAAACCATCGATTTGGAATATAAGGAAGCAAAAAACGCCCAATCAGAACAGCAAAAAGAAAAAAGAATCCAAAAAAACGAGGATAGTGTAAGGAGCCTCTGGGACAACTTCAAGCGTGCCAATATTCGCATCTTGGGGGTGCCCAAAGGAGAAGAGAGAGAACAAGAAATCGAAAACCTGTTTGAAACAATAATGGCAGAAAACTTTCCTAATTTGGTGAAGGAAACAGACATACAAGTCCAGGAAGCACAGAGTCCCAAACAAGATGAACCCCAAGAGGCCCACACCAAGACACATCATCATCAAAATGCAAAAGGTTCAAGACAAAGAGAGAATATTAAAAGCAGCAAGAGAAAGGCAGCTAGTTACCTACAAGGGAGTTCCCATTAGGCTGTCAGCTGATTTCTCAAAAGAAACTTTGCAGGCCAGAAGGGAGTGGCAAGAAATATTCAGAGTGATGAAAACCAAGAACCTGCAACCAAAATTACTCTATCCAGCAAAGCTGTCATTTAGAATCGATGGACATATAAAAACTTTCCCAGACAATAAAAAGTTAAAGGAGTTCATCACTACCAAACCGTTATTATATGAAATGATGAAGGGTCTTTTTGAAGAAAAAGATAAAATGTATGAACAAACAAAATGGCAATGAATATATATCTATCGACAATGGAATCTACAAACAAAATGAACAGGTAGAACAGAAACATTGTCATAGATACAGCGAACATTTTGTTGGTTGCTAGTTGGGAGGGGGGTTGGGGGAATGGCTGAAAAAGGTGAAGGGATTAAGAAGCACAAATTCATTGCTAGACTGACAAACCTCAAAGGGAAAGGGGTTGGGGGGGTGGGAAGAAATAAACCAAAGAACTTATATGCATAACCAATGGACACAGACAATAATGTGGGAAAAGGTGAGAGGGGGGCGGGAGTGGGGAGGAGGGGGTCAATGGGGGAAAAATGTGGAACATCTGTAATACATTTTACATCCAACAATAAAGATTTGAAAAAATAAATAAATAAATAAATAAAAATAAAAAATCTTGTGGCACACTGGTTGAAAATTGCTGTGGTATACTAATGCCATGTTATACAGTGTTATTTATCTTATACACAGGTTCCATTAGACAAGACCTTTCTGTTTAATGAGAATACCCCTCCATTTCTCTGCCTGTAGAAGAAACTCCACATAATGACAACATGATTGGTCAAAAATATGGTCCCAACCCTGGCCAGTTTTGCTCAGCGGTTAGAGCGTCAGCCTATGGTCCAGAGAGACCCAGGTTCGGTTCCCGCTAAGGGCGCGTACCTCAGTTGCAGTTTGTCCCCGGCCCTGGTTGGGTCGTGCATGTGGCAACCACTCGATGTGTCCCTTTCATGTCGATGTTTCTCTCTCTCTCCCTCCCACTCTATCTGAACAAAATACCGAAAAATGTCTTCAGGTGAGAATTAAAAAAAATAAAAATAAGGTCCCAGTTATGTTTAATAAGAAATATACTGAATTTAAAAACTTTTCTTGGCAGAATGTGCTCAACATCTATTACGTTCATGAAGTCACATGCTCTATAGCCTGGGCCAGAAATCAATGGACGCCTCTATATTATACCTATTCTTCATTTGATTTCTATTTATGATTCTAGATTTTAATAAAGTTAAATAAAGCACTACAAAATTAGTTCCCTCTCCTTCTCCACTTTCTCCAAAATCCTTAGTCTATGCCCTTCTCAACATTCAGTTATATTTAGAAACCAAAAAGGATTAAAATTGCTTTCAAAGTCAACAGAAGAAACTGTGTTTTATTCATCTTTTTAATCCTATTGCCTAGCCAAACCAGACACTCAAGTTATATTTGCTGAACTGAAATAAAGATTATCTTGATTTTAATAGATAATCCAGCCATTTGTGTATCTACATATGTCTATTAATCTATGTTTATAATGAATATTTTAAATATATTTGTTTTTATTTATATCACGTTAAAGAGGTAGAAAAGAGCCCTACCCGGTGTGACTCAGTTGGCTGGAGCATCGTCCTTTACAGCAAACAGTGGTTCTCAGCCTTCCTAATGCCATGACCCTTTAATACAGTTCCTCATGTTGTGGTGACCCCCCCAACCACAAAATTATTTTTGTTGCTACTTCATAACTATAATTTTGCTACTGTTATGTCTTAGGCGACCCCAGTGAAAGGGCTGTTCGACCCCCAAAGGGGTCATGACCCACAGGTTGAGAACATCTGCACCAAAAGGTCATTCATGGGTTCCATCCCCGATCAGAGCAGATACCCAAGCTGAGGGTTCAGTCCCTGGTCAAGGTGTGCACGGGAGGCAAACGATTAGTGTTTCTCACATCGATGTTCCCCTGTCTTTCTCTCTCTCTC